TAGTTATGGACAAATCTCAGTAGTGCTTCCCGCATATCAGTCAGCTCTTTGGTGTGGCTGTGTTCTGTGTACTGAGTGGATAAATTGGGGAGCTTTCATTGTCCTTCTAGACAATATCTTCAGTGCTTGACTCAATGTGAAGTAAGTTCATTAAGTTCTTCGTGAATGATAAAAGTGCCTCTTCTGGTAACCTTGATTGTGATGGGTTGTTGATTTGTATTGGTACCGATCGTTTAATAGAGCTGGAATTCGACTTTTTATTGTGTTCTTTGCTCTATGTTAATAGATATGTTGAGTGAAGATTGATCTGAGTACCGGGCTTCTAGGAATTCAATGGTGTTTTTAGGACTTTCGATGTTTAACATATACGCATTTTCCCAGTCAAACTGGAGTTTGTAGTTGTCTACAGACATCGATATAAAGAAACATATGTCGTATTTTTTGAGGGCGTTTGTGTCCTTGGGTTCGAAGTCGAAGGAGATGCCCCTGTTTGACCTATATAATGCTTTTCACATTTGATGCAATTTATTTTGCAGATGTTGATCTTGTATTCTTTTGGTGTTGGGTATTTCGGTCCTCTCAGTTTTAGTTCAAATAGTTTTGTTGGTTTGTGTGCAATATCTAATTCGGGTTTTTTTAGTATTCTAGCTGTTTTTTCAGAAATAATCTTCATAAATGGTAGGTTGAACTTTCTTATGGTGATGATAGTAGTATGTGTGCGGTCCGTCTGAATGGATCCGTTAAAACAAAGAAAGACGGCGCTACCCGTCGCTGCCTTTTCGTAGTCTCCGCTTACGCCCCAACAGACTGCAGTTCGGATGAATTAAAAGATGACTGTCTAATTTGCTACAAAAAGCAACACTTTCAAATATAGCTGTTTTAGCAGGCGACTTCAGTACCCAAGTAGGGAAGTTGTGCCAGACTGAGAAGTATGTAGGTGGTACGTATGGAGTTCCCTGCCGACGGACCGACAACGGTGATCGTCTTCTACAATTTTGCTCAGATAATCATCTGTTCCTAGTCAGCACTAACTTTAGGCACAAAGAGAGACATTGCCTAACCTGGCGACCTCCATCACCAAATCAACGTTAGACTCGAATAGACCACATAGCGATAGGGTATCGTTGGCGAGATTCACTAGAAGACAAACACTCCTTCTGGAACACGTGCGTACACTCCGATCACACCTTGGTTCACTCACGTTTATGCTTACCACTAAATGAACATAAGAAATTGACGGCAGCGAAACAGTTACATCCCCAACTAGATCGGGACACTGAATCCTTATTTAGGGAGGAAATAGCGAAACGAGTTTCTGAGGTCGACAGCAGGACTTCCCCCGAGGTAGCCTGGCACAACATACAGTTAGCTGTAGACACAGCTGTGAAAGCTGTTAATAAGCTAAAACCTAAAGTTAGTAAAAGCCATTGGATCTCTACCGCCTCATGCGAACTGATTGACGCAAAAAGACTGATTCCAGCGAGCTCCGATTATGATGAGGAGCGAAAGGTACTTAAGCGAAAACTAACAAAAAGTCTTCGCAACGACCGTGAACAGTGGTGGACGACAAAAGCGAAAGAGATGGAAAGGCATCGGTGATTGGCAACACCAGACAACTATTTAGGCTCATCAGGGAAACAGGTAGCAAAAGGCAAATGATAAGGGAAACAATCTCGGAGGAAAATGGTACCATAATTAGCTCCCAGGGTAGACGACTGGAACTCTGGAAAGAACACTATGAGGAGCAGTTTAATTGGTCTACAGCCACACTTAACCTGCCGAACATCCAACACCTCCCTGAATGTGATATAGACACAGGTCCTCCTTCCTTAACTGAGGTTACTAAAGCTGTCACTAATCTGAAACAAGGCACAGCAGCAGGACCTGATGGAATGACTCCAGAGGTATTTAAGTACGGTGGAGACAGTTTACTGTCTGCATTAACTGAGGTTCTAGGCAGCGTCTGGGAATCAGAGGAAGTCCCTTCGGGTTGGTGTAAGTCACTGATTATCCCCATATATAAGAAGGGAGACAAGTCTTCTTGTGATAATCACAGAGGGATAAGCTTGACTAATATAGTATCTAAAGTCCTAGGCCCAATAATACTGAGTAGACTAAGTGATGCTCGGGAGGCACAAACACGAGAAAACCAGGCAGCTTTTAGACCAGGAAGAGGGTGTATTGATCATATCCTCACCCTTCTACAGATTCTAGAACATAGGTGTACTCGCCGGCGTCCGACATTCATTAGATTTCTTGACCTAAAGGCGGCATTCGATTCTGTCGACCGAGAGGTTCTCTGGCGATGTTTGGCTGTAAAGGAAATGCCGAGAAAATGCATTGCACTGATTAAGGCACTCTACTCGTACTCATGCAGTCAGGTGAGGGCTTACGGCGAGTTGTCATCTGAAGTGGTGACGACTAGTGGCGTCCGTCAAGGATGCCCATTATCCCCATTCCTATTCAACTTCATCATAGATGTACTAATGGACTTAACCCTAACTCACTTCAGAGACTCAGGGACTGACTTGCTACCAGGGAATAATCTCGTTGACTTAGAATATGCAGACGATATAGTCCTTCTAGGAGAGGATGCTGACAAAATGCAGAGTCTTCTGAACACCTTGAGCAACAATCTTTGAGTGTTTGGCATGCGATTCGCCATTGTAAAATGTAAGATGATGTTGCAGGATTGGACTACACCGACCCCTAGATTAGAAATAGGAAGTGAAGTGGTAGAGCACGTTGACCACTTCACTTACTTGGGAAGCACCATCAGCCCCAACGGGTTGATCACTGACGAAATCTCGACACGAATACAGAGGGCTAGTTGCACATATGCCAGTTTACGCCGTCTCTGGCGTAGACGTGATATCCGACCATCGACCAAAGGACGGGTGTACTGCTCATCAGTCCGCTCCGTCCTCCTTTATGGCTGTGAGACCTGGCCATTGAGAGTGGAAGACATGATAAGCCTAGCTAGCTGTCTTTGATTATAGGTGCCTGCTTTGTATCTCCCGTGTGAAGTGGTATAATAAGGTGAGCAATACTGAGGTTAGGTGTCGAGTGCTAGGTAAGGAGGGGAAATCAGTCGACGAGACTGTGAAATTACGTCGACTGAGATGGTTAGGACATGTGTTACGTATGCCTTCCTAGTCATCGCCTTCCTCGACAATGGGCAATGTTAGCTGACATAGGGTCAGGCTGGAAAAGAGCTAGTGGTGGTCAAACGAAAACATGGCGTTGGTCAATGAAATCTACAACAGTTAGTCTAAGCCACGTAGGAAGGTGTAGACTTCCTGGTTGGGGTCCTCGGGACGGTAAAAACCAATGGTTGGAAACAATTGCTGATATGGCTCAAAATCGTTCTCAGTGGTGCAGATGCATCCACTCCTTGTGACTTATGATTTCCAATGAAACTTTTGTTCTTCGTTATTACTATTCCTTTGTCTCATACCTCTGTTTACTGTCTCTAATACGCATTTCTCCTACTTTCTTCTCTTGCTTTGTGTGCTACATGGAGTGTGGCGACTTGAACTGCCGCACATATTTGCAAAGTTCTATGTCGAAAACAGACAGACAGACATGGTGATGAAATCTTAAGGGTGTCCATTTTTCTTGAAGACACTTGCAGAGATTTCCTTTCTTTTTTTCTCAGGAATAGAATTCTGTAATATGTTTTGGCTCTTTTGAATAGTGATTGTGCATAGTTTCATTTGTGTGATGTTGTAGTTGATTATTCGGTCTGTATGGATTGACTTCATGTATACTTGTGTTTCTGGGCTCCGTGCGTTCTCTTAACCGAGATATCTAAAGAGGGGATTTCGTTGTATGATTCTTCTTTTGTAAAATTAATGTCTTGGAACACGGTTAATGTAAGTGTCTAGAACTCAGGTCAATCCTCACTCAACAAGTTAACATAGGCCACTTTATCGACCAACAGAGGACAATTTACAAAGAGTTGAATTCCAGCTCACTGGAACGATCGACACCAATACAGATGAACAACTAGTCAGAGCCAAGGTAAACGCTAAAATCTGTGCAATTTTAACCACTTGGTACAGGGATAACAGTCATGTCAAATGCATCCTTCTGATCTACAAGTTTTTTTAACATTATTTCAGTGTTTTTGTTTGCTTATCGGCCGTGTTTTCTGTCAGTTTTCCGGACATAAATAATCTAATAACACCAGTCTCTTCCCGTCCTAAATATATTGCAGACTTTCAGATATCTAAGGGGGCACAATTCCTAGTCACTGAAATGTACACTAGTGTAGAGAAACACAATCATTTCCTAATTCTTAGTCCAGCGACCTGTTCATTGCTAGTCGATAGTGATTTGTATTAGTGGTCAGTAAAATACTCATTCTGATGAGTAAAGACAGAGTCTTAGAAAGATAGATTGTGATTCAACTCTAAATAAATAGAAGAGTTCATTTTAGGGTAGGTTTTAGCAGATAATTGTTAAAAAGGTTCTTTCAAAATATGGCTGCAAGTTCCTTCTAGGTAATCTTAGGCAAATCGACGTACCGCGAAGTCACGCACCAATTAATTGTATTTCACTTTTATTGATGGTTTATGGTGAAATCATTTGCAAGGCAGGCTGGACTACGATAAGTTGTTAGTAGTTGATACTTCTCCCTGGCCTGACCTCGCAAATTACTTAGATCATTTTCACGAACTTTTCACGCTCTGATGTCTTCCTGTCTACACATAACTTGCTCCCTATTTTTCTCCCAATACCTTTTTATCCATCCTTCATTTCGCTTAGTTTACAGTTACCCTTTATTTTAATCACCTTTTTGGGTTGTGAGATGTGCATTAAGTTTATACGTACATGCATACAGTTCATTCTTATCGGATGTATAATCTTGGATTTGTGCTACCTATCCAATCTGTTGCGATGAACTGTACTTTTTGACACATTAATTCTTAAATGCATTGTTGGTATCGAATTATTTGACTTTTAGGTTGCGTAGTTTCCAGTTGTATTTACAACCGATGGTTGGGATAGAAGATTTGCCGCAAAATTTATTTTACCAAATTTGTTCCTACCTACAAATTAGTGACCTTGTTGCTGTGTCTTCTGTGTGCAGACAATTCAGTCATTGGTTAGGCCGACAGTCGTACTGGAAATGGCGGTTACAGAATCTGTGGAATGGCCAGTATCCTTGTTTACCAGGTTGGCACTCTCGCATTACGTCTACCAAATTTAGAAAAGATTGTAGATTGGTCATCGGTGTGTTTTGAAAGGGAGAAATGTTTCACAATCTTCGGTAACGATTCATGTGAATGTTTTCGTGTGTCCAAACTTAACGTTGTTAATGAAGGCATTGATGCTCTACATATCCCTTTGGTATTCACTACTTAGTGCTGCTAATGATCTTTATCACAGAGACATCCTGAATTACTTCTCGTGGGTGACAGGGAAAAAGTGGTTTCTATATTTTCATTCAAAAGTGGACTGCTTTCCGATGCATGGCACCCCATATTCACTGAAAGTAATAGCCATTCTGTAAGTTTTTTCGTGTAATCAATAGTGTATCAAATGTTTTCACATACTTTCTAGTTATTTTTCTATGCTTAAATGGTGATTTGACATGTCGATTGTTACTGTTAGGTATTTATTTGTTATTAAAATGTATTTGGTGTTAATTTAAATCATTGATGTAACTTTAGATTAGGTCGTGGTCAGTTATGATTTGAAATCAGTGGATTCTATCTTATATACTATACTTCATCAAAGCACTGTCACAGATTAAAGGTGTATGCTTGAATTATTTATCTTGTTATTGGGACTGACCCAACGTTGTAGATGTGTTAGCTTGACATGGTATATATATATATATATATATATATATATATATATATATATATATATAGTGGACGTATTTACGGAAAAAGCAGCTTAAAATCAAAGATTTGCTCATATGCCAATAAGTGACACGATTAGAAGCAGATTCTCAAATAAACATTCACGAGTATCTAGCATATTAAGCCCATCCAATATGTAATATTTATGTGTTTTGACAGTCATATCAGACATTACTATTTTTTTTCACACAACCAGTTCCTTTGATTATTTTGTACCGAGAGGACAAACCTGTACGTAAGATAGAAAGAGGTCGTTTTTTATTTCACGGCTTTTTATCATCTGCTAGCAGCCTGAAGTTGACAAGTTATTATAGATGTAGAAGTATATGATATACTTCAGAATCATTTCACCGCAGAAAACATAATTGTGGAGCAAGAGATATGAACCAAAAATAGTTAATAATCTAACAACCAGAGTTTATTTATACATAATATGATGGCAAGTTTGAGAGGGGAGGATTGGGTTGAAAGGAAACGGTAAGTAAAATTAAAATTAATACGTAAACAAACAAGTGAACTACAAGATCAATAAGTTAAGGTCAGTGAGTCACAATAAAAAATTCTAACTCAACAAAACACAGAAGCAGACTGGAAACGTCTAATTATCAGGGTAGTGTGATGTAAATATACTTTCTTTCTGTATAAGGGAAATAGATTGGCATTTTTATTCCTGCAAATATGTTGGTTCTTTCTCTTTGTTCAAATTACTATTTTATATATAATCTGTTCAGTCGTTACTAGGAGATGTGACTTAAGTACAAAACATATTTCAACCACAGTTGTGGAAACATCACATTCTTTTGACAAATATTTTACGATCGACTGATTTAGGTTGTATACTGTAGACATAAATAAATACAGATTAATGCTTACCTGTCTACTCTCAATTATTTATGGAGATCTACACATCAGGTTCATCTTGGACTTCATTATAGTCATTAAAAACTGACTGCAACTTCAAACAGCATGCAACACCAAGACATTTTAATGCTATTGATTCAACATGGCAGTCATGGATATATAAACCACTTACTATGTACTGGGTTGTTCAAGTATTGGTTTTGTAGGAATTTTTGTTTGACTGGTTGGAGGATTTCGTCATGAGCTGACATCAGTTAGAGACCCATTGGAAAACCTTCCGGGAGTACTGGACAGCCGTTTCGTCTTAGTTTGGGACTCTTCACAGTGCGCACCCACCGGGGCTCGAACCCAGGACCTTCTGGTAACAGGGCGAGCTCGTAGACCATTAAGCCAATGGGACCGGATCCGATGGCCCATGAATTCTAACTTCTACCAACTCATGACATAGCGCGACCACTTCGCAATGTTTTCTCCGATGAGTTACTGCCTCATCTTCAACCTGTTGTACCCTACTAGTCACGGCTTCCCACTAGGATGTCTTAATTATTGGGGTCTATTACCTGTAAAACATAAAACTGATGTTTGCATTGTGACCCGCTACGTGTTGTTTGAAGTAGTTTCGAGTAGTCCCGTAAGTCTTTTCTAAAATATACCAATACATTTTTTTCCAGTAACTTTATTAGTCTGCATAAATGAATACCACAGAAACGATAGTAGGTAATACGGTATATTAGGTTGTATATCAGGAAGAAAACTAGTAAATTATGAGAGTTCTTTAAACACTTTTACACTATCTAAAACACTAAGTGATGAACAGTGACCAGAAATAGTTGTGATAGAAATTACAAAGTTGTGGGAACAAGAATATTTTTGATCAGAGTAAAGGATATTTAAGTTATTTCTTTAGTACAAGTTAGGATATGTTATTAAACACAAGGAACTAAAGTGGAATTTTCACAACAAAATCGTCATCATTCTTTACTATGTCTACTGTTATCGCATTTATACTTTTTTAAAATTTGGTATTATATGTCAATATTATGGGTAGAATTTTATCTTTTTCTGACGACGAAGTTTAGTTGTATTTTGACATGCTTTTATGTTTTTTTTTAATGCGATTTTTCTACTCAGTTTTCTAACGTATTCTGTCTTAGGGTTGGTTATGGACCATAAATTCGACAGATGATACTGTAATCACAAGTGGTTGGGATAGTGTAGTAAGAGTATGGAAGTTGACAAACTCAGGTCTTGCATCCCAATCAATGTACAAGTAAGTTTTATGCATTCTGAACCATGTAGTAATTTTCAGTGTGTTGCTTTTATCCCACACGGTGTGCATTCTCCAAGGTGGAAGTTCTATTTAGAACAGTTCGCTTTGCATAGTTCATATGTGTTAACCACCGATTAGCCTACAAAAAACATAACGTGTACAAATCACTTTGCAAACTAGAGTCCCCTTGGAGGTATACTATCTCAGTACAATAGGTTTATCCAAATTATTACAGTCATTTTTTACTACGTCATTTTGTATTTTTTTTACTCTAAAATTGTTTATCCGACTAAAACCAATTGCATTCACTTAAATGACCACGTATAATATTAAATAGTTCCTCCTTATGCTCTATTTATAATGGTTGTCACATACTAATTGAGAAAGTTCAACAGTCATCGATCAAATTCTTGCGGATTATGAATTCGCAAAATAAGTAGTATATCAACCTATAAAACAGAGATAGACTCTTGTTTATCATCACTGCATTAACCTACGAAACAACTGACTGAAGGATTCATTCACGAATACCAAACCCTTTGTTTAGGCCAACACACAGTAACAAATCACATTCATTATCGAAGGGCGGGATCTGCATTGGATTGTCTTCCAGCGTATTATAAAGTCGGCATCTATCATCACAAATCTACCTATAATGGCTGTTCCAGAACATCTCAAAGGAATAGGATGAATTATTGAATAAATGAAGTTTCGACAATAAGAACTATCCACTAAAGTTTTCAGTTAAAGATAACGGACTTATTATTGGGTATCAAATGTCGATAAATAAATGCATCATCGAGAAAAGGGATATTTCCCCCCTCCTATCTTAGGAACCATCCCATCGGTTGAGGTTTACAAATGCAAATATTATCGCGTAAATGCACGTAACAACATTGATTAGCCATTTATGCAGCCAAACTAGAATAATTGAATAATTATTGTAAACAATAAAGCGATCATGTCAATTAAACAATATCACACCAAGGTGATCAGGAAATTTAAGTGCAGTTGACCGTTTTGGCACATTTCCCAATTTAAAATCTAACACACCGTTCTCTATTAAAATATGCAGTGAAGATCTACAGATTGTTTTCACAACGGATATACTGAGATAAAAAACTGACTAGATGTATCAAACAACTTGCAGACATGTCCGTTAACATGATAACTATTTAACTATTGTTTTCGTTACCATTACCTTAGGGTTTCTCAGACTGACGTCGATAGGTAAAATTTATCACATATGCTGATATAAAGTAAAGATATTTGCGGACAACAGATTGATCAGGAAGGACAAATCAGCATCTTCCGTCGTGTTCAGATATTTTTTTTTCATTCCTTCACATTCCCAGTGGAACATAGGGCTTCAAGCTAGAGACTTGAAGTTTCTGTAGCAGTGTTTATTTTTACAGGATGCGGTTGCTAGCCTCATGCCCAACCTTTCCTCTTTATCAGCTTTATTACTAGCTTAGCGAGGTAAAGGAGCGCGTCGGCCGGGGATCGAACCCCGGACCACATACGTGGTCGGCGAGCATTCTACTTCTGTGCCACCAACGCACAGTGTTCAGATATTCCAATTGGTTTATTTGCTGCTGTGATGCAGGTTTTGTGATTCACTGTATAAAGTACACACTTTTAAGCTCACGTCAAATAATTTTCTACCACACACATTGAAGCGAACTGGAAGTCAGGACGAGCCGATGTTTGAACGTGTACACCTGATCAACTCTTATCGTCCTAGATTACCAGTTGAATTGGAAATAAGAGGAATACAGCTACACTGTGCTTCATGCATCTATACGCATTAGCCCTCTAAGAACAATATGAATTACTTTAATTTCGAAATCATCTCTATCTGTTCACAATTATCTGAGTGATATTGGAGAAGTAATTTCATAAACATGACTGATATCTGGCTGGTCATTTGTGTCAGTTAATAGGAAAGTTCACAGATAAGTGATTGCATGCTAACATTAGCTTTACTTATTAATCATGTTTCTACGATGAATAAACTCAAATGTCTCATCTTCGATTATCTGTACCCCTTGTGGCAGCGGTTAGGGGTTTAGCTTGTGTTGATGTCGCACTAAGTGTTATAACCGACGTTGCATTACTTGATTGAAACCTATCGAATAGTCGTTTATATGCTGGTAGATTATAGAGTTTTATAAGACGGAAAAGTTTTGCTTTCTTCTCGCGTCTACTTTTCAGATTGATGAATTCCAGGCCTTATTCACTTAATAATGAGTTGTACCATAAACAGACTAACGCTAAATATGTGCGCTCAACAGATATCGGGCTAGGCATACCTTGGTACCCGAAGTGATGCAACTTTGGGAAGCTTGGAAATATGGACGGATTCACTTCTGTGCAACGTTCTACTACCATGGCTTGTTTAGTAGACTATATGTCAGATGTACTGTGTGAAGGCTCCTCAACAGACTTATCAGTAATTTCGTCTGGCATTCGACTGCTGATAATTTATAGCTCTGTATATGCAGATTTCTGCAATACGAATGTTCTCCAGTGTCTTGATATTTATTGTTAGTTCTCTTCGTGTTGAAATACAGTCATGTTGTTTCATATACAATAAGTTTTAAATAGAAATGTTGGCTTTCAATAAATATAAATATCTGTACATATTACGCATCAGTGTGTTTTCATTAAAAAAATTTGTTCGCTATCTCTTTGCTATGCCTAATGCATATTGTTGAATACTTTTGGTTTTGTTCGTTAATTTCGTATCATATTCACAGAGTAAGCAGTCCCGTTCTGTGCTCAAGTTTTTTGGATTCCAATACATTAGCAGTTGGTACCCAGGGTCGATATGTGTACCTACTGGACCTACGTTCTTTTGAAAAAGAACCACCTACTCCCATGCGTCATAGGGGAGCTGTTGTTTGCATGGATTCTGTATACGAAAGTGGTTTAAGTTCGGGTATCTCAAATGAGTTCATCTTCAGTAGAAATAATCATGCGAATGATGGTCTTGCTCGCGGTGATCATATGTACGCAGAATACAGCTCCCATTCAGACTTATCGTCTATAGCAGCTAGTGAAGAAAATTTCTGTGAATCCGTAGTTGACCCATTTGAAATAGGAAATCTTATATTCGACGATCGTGCATCCATTTCACCAAAAGTGTCTGCAAAGAGTGAACAAGATAAGAAAATTAATTATAAGCGAGAGGACACAGAGACTTTTGCTGATAATCTCAGCCAGTCCCGTAAATACTCATTCTCCAATTTTCATCTCTTCACTGGGAGCAGCGATCAACACATTGCTGGTTGGGATGTGAGAAATGCATCGCGTCCAGTCCATAAACTCAAAGTGAGTAGAATTTATCACCTTAATCATCGTATCAGTGTACTGATTTACGGAGTGAGGTATCTAAACTTAATATTTAATGTCTGGATTTTCATCTGTTGCATATTTGTTTGCCGCTGTCATTTTCCTTAGTAATGATCACTATGTAGGAGAAACAAGCATATGTTCCCACATTCTGTCTCGAATTACAATTGTAAAGAATCACAATCATATCCATGATTATGAGCAATACGTTTTGCTCGAAACTTCATTCCGTTATTAATATTGTATCACTGTGTTTCGCGTCAAATAAATAAACATTAGTGAGAAGAAGCAATATTTGGGTGAAAGTAGTTGTTCATAACTATTTATTTTGGTTTTATTACTTATTGCAAGAATTCATTCAGTCTTACTGCCATTAAATTTCTTCAGACATTGTGGAAAGATTACTGTCTGTTTCCACACGTGGGCAGAAGAACCCAGAAGTTGTACGTGTTTTCTGTCAATTGCCGATTCTCCAAGCTTTAAAGGTAGTTAGGATAAAGAGTTTGGAATAAGCTATCCTATTATCAAATGGATTATCTTTTGTTAAATGGTAATGTTAATTTTCAACGTCAGATGTATTGATGTTTATTCTTTTCAGATCAATGTTAAATATGCATTCATCATAGTGTTAATGTGTCCTCAGTGAGACTATGATCTAACAGCTTAGGAACTGGAGTGACTATTAAAAAAAGCTACATATGACTTAATGAACATTAGTTATTACTGGCAAAGCGACCAATTCAAGTTACCACCATTAAAATATCAACACACCTATACACGTGACTTATCTGTTGATATATAGTCGTGCATTTATTCCCCGAGAGGAACTATACGACATCTGTTGCCGTAGTAACACCATTCAATACCTCAAGTTATTATACACATCACAGTAGGATTTATAGGTAACGTATAAAAAATAACATTTATTCATTATTTGAATTTGCCAAGGGAAATAATTGTGTTAAGTAATCAGAAAATTGAATCACTACCACCATCCAACTGGTCTGTATATGGTACATAAAAAGAAAAGGTATTCAGTTGTTAAAGCATCGTTGGATGAATTTTGTATTTCACAGTAAAAGCATCAGTATGCTATGAAATGTGGATACAACTGCCCAGTGAGATGTAAATGGAAAGAAATGCGCACCCTGAGTCTTACTTTTAGTCTCCTTCAGCGTTGCCCTACCTCTTTTCCTCTTTAATGTTATTATTTTTATAAGGTCGTTTTTCCCGAAAAATATTACGATTATTACTGTTCACTATTATTAAAACACCAACTTGGTATATCATGGGCATCAAGAGATGCGCCGCACAAAATCTCATAGTTTGTGAGAGGGCTGGAATTACTGCTCAAACCCTCAAATCGAAGCAGGTATTTGTCTCAGGAGGCCACTCCCGAGCCTATCACTTGAATTCTAATCCACAATGCAGTGGAGCTGTGTTCTCATCGTTTCCGGTGACCAACACTGTTCGGATTCTGGAACCCGTGTAAACCATAGGCTGGGAATCAGAGTTTTCCAGCTACCCTAGGTTTACATGCATGTTCACCAGTTTGGCTGTAAGTTCGTATTCGCCCACTGGCTTTTATGAAGAACATCGCCGCATGAAGGCAGTAAATAGGAATTACCTGGCAGAAGCTTTTGACGCATGGTTACATTACCATTATTACATTTCGTCATGGGGTTTTATCTTGTTTTAATGTGGAATTCTCCCAATTATCTATTTGCATGTACATCTAGATTAATAAGTCATTGTTATTGTGTTCTTTATTGTAGGTGGTTTAATTGCGATGCTATTACTGTCCTTCTGCACAAAATCATCAGCGCTAATTTCACTTCAGTGTGAATTTATCCCTGATGATGTTGTCCAGATTGACAGCGTAAGGTTGATAATTAAGCCACCTATCTCAGAGTAAACAACACCAAAAACATCTACTCGAGCTGCGAATCCTCTCATTGTTTCAATATCCCACGAGTGGTCAGCACTTCTATCTGTTCAAATAGTAAATTTGTGTATATTATATCATTTGGTATGTATGGAGGTTATATGATTTAAAATTTTAGCAAACATGTAATTTTATACCTTTTTGGTTTCTTTCCTGTCTTCAATCTTTAATGTCTATCTTTTCAGTTGACTAGCTATCCAAGAAAAATATCTCTACTGGATGAAACTGAATTATGGGTTGCTGAACCACCTGATCGAGTCCACGTATTCGATATTCGTGATAATCAGTTAAATTGTGCATATGTAAGCCGTGTTTTTAAATTCCTTCGAAATATTTACTATGTCTAGAAATTAGATTGCTACTAATACCGTGTTTATTAATGCTGATCGATTAATTTTCATTTGATTACATTGTGTGTTTCATCAAAGGATGATACTGCTATGTAAACTGTTTACATTGTAGGCTTGAATGACAATCGAAGATCACTTGGTAATATTTATTCGAATACTACTATTTCATTACTCCAAATAAATACCCACCTTTCCTATTGATGAAGATTATCACACTCAGTTTACGTCCATTGTTCGCTGAATTATGAACATCTGGGATATGTTATTTACGTATATTGATTAATTACTGGGATATTTATTATATAATGAGGCTAGAGGAATGCTTACTACTATTTTTTAACAATCCGTTGCGTTCCGAGTGGGACATAAAGCTTCAAACTTGGGCTTTGAAGTTCCAGTGGCGAAGGCGCTTTTCTGACAGGGTGGGGACCTCAGCCTCACCCCCAACCTCCCATCACTTCTGATTTTATTACCAGCTAAGTGAAGTTTATAAGTGCTTCAGTTGGGAGTCGAACAAGCACCACATTAGTCGTTAGCGAAAGTCCTACCATTGGACCACCGACACATTTTTGTTATGACTAGATCATATAGATTGTCCGACACAATACATAGTTGATTAGTACAAGATGAGATAATTGCTGCTACACACCTAGCTTCCTTCAGATTTTTCCATAGTTGGTATCACACTATTCAACCGGACTTTGAATTCCCCATTTTCCTTAAGTAGTCTGCAGCTTTTATCCAAATGATATTTCTATGAGTAACTTCAAGGCCACCTCGTCATAAAAAGTTTTTGAGAGTCATTTTGTTTGTGTTATCCGTTTACGTCTTGTTGACTGCTAACGATTGAAGTTAAGTAAGAATGACGTATGCGAATGTTTAAAAGATGTCCAACTAATTTTAGTAGGCCTTTCACCTAAATAACTCACTTTATTTCTAAGTTTACATGCAATTATTTAAACTGTTGAGATTATCATAACCATTACCATTTCCTAACATCGTATTACTTTTTTTCGCATCTATAAAATACAGTCATGGTTAGTTGTTTTTCTCTGTATATTATTATTCTCTGTCTTTTGTTTTGTTTAGACAAACCAACTACCTGGATGGGATCGTGGTTTCGGGGGTATTAAAGCCACATCTGGATGTATCTTCGTCGCTGGTTTACATGGCTCTGTTGAAGCCTTTCACCCCACATGTCCACTACTACCAATGGGCGAACAACCACTGCAGGAGAAAATCTTTGCTTCCCCTACCAGTGTATGTGATACAGTACTTTTATTAATTCTATGACGTAATAATGCTTGTATGTTATTATTATTCCTTTGAGTTCCGATTGGAACACAGGGCTTCAACAAAACATCTCCACTTTGTTCTATCTTCTGCCATCCTCCTCAGGTGGGTCCACGGTTGCCCAAACTCTCATCTCTTCCTCGTACGATCTCCTCCATGCCACCCTCGCGGGATTTTGTGGAAGCCTCCGTAGTTGTTCTGTTTTATCTGTTCATTTGTGTATGGGCGTGTATGTAAATTGGAATGCGTGATGGCCTAGTAAACTATGGTGGATAATTTGAACATGATTTATAGTTATTACTCGGTTCCATTTAAATAACCTTTGGTAATCATGCTTAAAGCTGTTCTAGTTCCCATTTCAACTGCCGAGTAGCGAAGGTGCTTACTATTTACCATTGGAATCTATTTAATATCTTGTTCTATCATTCTACTTGTAATTTGTGGTGGTTTTCTTTGTTCTTTTCCCAGTTAGAATACTTTAATGATATTTTGGTCTCGGGGTCGGGAGCTGGTTCAATATATATTTGGTCTTCTTCAAAAAGAATGAAGTCATTAATCTCGTCAGACTAATGCCTTCAGTGATAAAGAACATCTCTGCACAAATATATATATATATCCATATGAACAGACCTGTTGGTGATCAGCTTTTTGTCTTTCCCTATCCTCTTTCTTTGGTGTGATCAAGGTTGTGTTTGGTTACAAATGCTACGCGATTTATTTCCGCTTTGATATTTTAAATGATACTTACTTTAACACAGACTTCAATTTTTGTTAGTTCTTATAAATTCTGTAAATAAAGTATTTTGGGATAACTTGAAACTGTTGCTACCTAAGTTGCTTCATTAAATATTATCCACTAGCTTGGGTCACAGCTTAATGCGTATGAAATTCATCCCGATATATCTATCCATATATTTGTTTGTATGTCATAGTAAATGAAAATAGCCCTCCATAGTTAATATCTGATTTTCGAACCTGCCAGGTTAGAAGACGTAATAGTAGTAGCCATCGACTATGTAATAAACTAAGAGACACTCGAGTCCAGAATCCAATGTTTTGATAATGAATTATTTCAAACACCAATACTGGAAAAATTGTGACTCTTCATAGTCAACTTAAGTGCGAATGCGTTTATTTTCCCAGCTTAGTTTATTTCATGTCATGGTAAATTGATTTGTACATGTGTTATGATTTTTTTTAAGCTAATTGGTGATAAACACTTACGAAGTGTGCTAAGTGATCAGCAAACTAATTCCATTGTATATTGCACACACTGTAATTTGTTTTATGTTTTATCATTTCTAAGTGTTCCAAGGAAATGCTCAGCGTTCTCCGTGGTTTACTGCAACTTTATGGATAAACTAAGGTTAGTGTGAAAATTGAGGTGCCCAAGTAATCGGTGATTCTGATACTAGGGGTCACGTTAGTGCTAGGACATAGTCACACGAACTGCAGACCAACAGTTTTTGTATTTCTTGACACTTTGGGTACCTTCAGTTTGTTAGACAGGAAGATTCTTTGGAGTGTTATCCCTAACAAATTTGTCAGCATTCTGAAAGCCTTATACAACCAGTTATCACAACTGTTCTCAACCGACAACGGGGTCATAACTCTCTCCAACTTTGCCATTAATGATATTTTAGAAACGACTGTGGATTGTGTGATGCTGATGTATATCTGCTGGTCGGAAAATGTCTTTGACCTTGACTGTTCAGCAGACGTCGCCTTACCATACAGAGTACGTATAATGCATGTAGTTAATTGGCTATTGGTGTGTGAGTACGGTATATTCTTCCCTCTGTGTCAGTGCTGTTACAAGGTTGACAGGAGCCTGTACCTGCATTAACTCCTGCAATTCAACAGTTATAAGTAGTCCATGTATCTAGGCTATCGTGTGAATAGTGGAACTGATGTGACCTATGAAATCTCTAATCGTATAGTGAAAGCCAGAGTGGCATACACCGTCCTAGGCCACCTCTGACGACGCCGTGTGTCTATCGTAGTTCAGGTTCACAGGGCATCGGCGCTCACAACTTCGCTATTTGACTGTGAAACCTCATCTCTCCGATCTGAGGAGACCCGACACCTCTCTATGTCCGACTATCATTACCTCCGTGGAATGGCTTGCACTCGGCATTGTCATCATGTAAATAATTCTGAATTCTGAAAGAGTGTAGTCGGATGCATCGGACGTTGTCTTCTGGTACATGATATCATCTAGAAGCTCAGGATTTGATATTCTGGACATGAGCTACGAATATCAGACCAGCGGTTCCTATACAGTTCATCGTCTGCTAGGCCTGAGATTGAGTGGAGGAAGCGGGAGGAAATCAGCCGCGGGATGACGGGTAGTTGTCTTAGATTAGCGTTTGTTGGTACATCATGACTCATTGAATGGAATCAGAGAGGTGATCCGAATTAGTCTGTCGAGAGTCGAAATGCAATTAGTGTCTCTCAAGGTCATTTAAAGTGTATATAAATATATCTATTTTCGCTGTTGATACGAAACAGTAAAAGCTCTCTACATCAACAGTCTGTCTTCCCTTCTTGCATTGCGGTTTCGTGTCGTTGTTGTTGCTAATAGTGATTTGAATAGTAGGCTGGCTAATCGACTCGGTAGGAAATTTGTTAGCGCAAACTACCAAGTTAATTAACGGTCATAACATGAACAACACTTAATTGACGAAGCATTATATTTACCCGTCGGAAATATCAATGTCACTGGATTTTATCGATACATAGATTGCTCTTGGACTACATAAATTATTGGGCTGTTTAAATTCTATACGTCAACAAATTATCATAAGGAAACTGTTAATACACTTTCCGGGTGTTAACACGTAAAAACAACGAATAGGATTTAGTGAGTAGTGATAAAGTTTGGAGAAAAATGAACATGCAGTAAGTGAAAATATGTTTAGCTGTCAATGTGAACAACACAAGAGCAGGATCTAAAAAAAAATCGGTAAAATATCAATTAATCAATTTGTAACCAGATTTCGAATAGCGAATATTTTCTTCTTGGAGGTTTACCTCACATTAATGGGAAGGTGCTTTGAGAAGGATGAACGGGAGATGTGCTGCTGAAGCCTTATGTTCCACTGGGAACCTAAGGTGGTAATAATATCATAGTGATATGACAGTTTTTACTTAGTCTCAATTGATTCGTTCTCTAAATAACGTCTGTTTTGTGATATGAGATAAATATTTAGTCTTTCAATTGATGGTATTTTTTTAAAATCATGCTGATATTATTATTATATACTAGTTGACATACATGTGAATGCATATTCTCCCGTTGTATTCTCTCGCTCGATCTGTGTTCACCGTGGAATTACAAGTTGTGCGATTTACTTTTCAATTTATTTTTCGAGTCAATACAACCAGTTACAGGTCGCCAACCTTTTATTTTATTCCTTTATTCTCCAAAAGTTACTGGAACAAAATCATTCAGAGTGAAAAAGAAATTTAATTAGTTCACATTAAGTGTTATAAGGTCAGTATAATATTAAGTAGCACCGTTTTATATGTACTCGTGTAGCCTGAAGTCTTTGATTACGACTTGTTCCACGATACGAAGTAAGGTGAAATTTCTGTTGTTTTTGAAATATATATTGAAAACTATTGCTAAAACCGATTCTTTACAATTAATCGGCTAGAAAATAGAAGAATTCACTTGACAAATTTTGAAAATCTTTGAATTGGTTGCTTCCGAATATATTCAGAAAGTCGAACTCATCCACCTATCTCCTGTAAATATACTTAAGCTAGCCAATGAGCCTCACCTATTTTACTAGCCAGTCCTAAGACCGGAAAAGAAGGTTGGGGGTGGACCTAGCGACCCTACCCTTGAAAATAAATCTAGTAGTTACAGAAACTTCAATGCTCATAAAATATGGGAACTGAATTCTTCTTTCTACTAAAGCAAAAGTGTGCTTTGGGATATGTAATGGCTGCACGATGTTTGAAGCTGGGAAGGCTACTCAGATTGCGAAACAAATGAAAAGACATGGCACTGAAGTGATAAGGATCTGACATGTCGAACATCATCTGGAACGATGTAAATCACTTCAAGTTATTTCGATAAGTAGCAAGAAGGGGTGAAACAGCTTTTGCTTTGATTTGAAAGGAAGTCTTCCTGAATTCCGAGATCATCAATCACACCACTGAGAATACGCATTCAAATAAGTCGGACCTGAAAATTTTCACCACATTAATCAACCTGTTCACAATTCATCATTAGTATACAACGCCGTAAGAGATTCCTATTATAGAAATCCGGAAATCATTTTCAACAAGACATTAACAACACGTTTTGCAAGATATTACAAACTAAAATATACTCTTAGTCGTGGTAACATGACAGTGTTCATTATATTATATTATTATATACTATTCCCTTGGGTTCCAATTGGAAAACAGGGCTTCAACAACACATCTCCACTTTGTTCTATCTTCTGCCATCCTCCTCAGGTGGGTCCACGGTTGCCCAAACTCTCTCATCTCTTTCTCACACGCAGAAAAAACTTCGTACAATATGGCACCAAGAAAGATGCGCCACACAATAATAATAAAACAACATAGATTAAAAGTAAAAATATAAGTAGAAAACGGATAAAGAACTTCATCTGGAAGGAAAACAGTCATGTTTAACAAGTTCAGACAGTATTCGTTAACTATCACCAGGAAGGGAAGAAAGAAGGAAATTGCGACACGTTCGCCATTGATTACGATTCTTGGCCATATCCGATAACGTTTCGAGCTATCTCGCGGACCCCAACCAGGGAGTCGTGACGCACCGACCAATGCTAATCTAGCACACATATCCTTCATCCCACGACGCCGCGTCATGGACTGACCACCCTTCCGCCTTTTCCATCCCCTTCGAGGGCTAGCGAACAGAGACCTGTACGGAAGCCTCTGGGATGACATTCGCAGCACATGTCCAAGCCACCGGAGCTGGTGTTTCTAGATGACGACACTCAATGAATGGTGATCTCCACTGTGCTCAAACACACGCCACCGAACCTCAGAATTACTCACGCGATGATGCCATCGAACGCAAGCAAACCTGCGGAGACAGCGATGATCCAACACGCAGAGTTGCCGCACATCCTCAGCTTGGAGAGGCCAGGTTTCACAGGCATAGAGCAAGACAGCCCGCACCGAAGCATCCCTCTCACTGACGACCCACTCGTCGCTTCCCATTTGGATCCCACTCGAGCGATGGTGTGCATTGCGCGCCATGCCATTTGATAGCCTCTTCAACGTATGCCCAATCAATGAATCCCCATTTTCTCCTACATATTTGTTGAGCGATCGGCTCTCACCCGTTGGTTTGTTCCCAGCCAGAGCTTTTAGTACTAATCCTTTCTGGCCGGCTGGCCATTCGATCTTCAGTATGGAGCCAACAAAAAGGGTGACTGTTGACAAAAGTCTACAGTCGGCTGTTGGAAATGCTTTTCGTGGCATGCTGGCCAAGTTTCTGACCCGTATAGAAGCACTGACCGACTTGACATTCGTGCTGAAAATCCGAATCCTGGTCTTTATGTTGGCTGAGTGCAGGAGAT